GGGAAGTGATTTGTCTGTGACCACAAGGAAAAGTGTGGGTGAGTCAAATCCAGGACTTCTGACTCCAAGTTCATTGCTCCCTCTTCCCCTCTATAAAGGCAGTATTTAGAGTGCAGAATGGGGGCTCATGGTCTATCTCTGACACTTTCTAATGAGTGACCTCAGACAGGTTACTTAACTTTGTGCCTCAGTTTCTGCATCTGTAAAGTGTGCCCAAAGGTAATAGTACTATCTTACAGAATTGTTGAGAAGATTAAATGAGACTTAAAGGGCTTGTGATACCTAGTACCAGTAAGCACCTAATGAATACTAGTTGTTATCATAGCTCTTCTTTCCTCAAAGAAGATTTGTTAAATATTTTTTTAGTTATACATGGGCACAATATCTTTATTTTGTTTATTTATTTTTATGTGGTGCTGAGGATCAAACCCAGGGTCTCACATGAGAGAGGCGAGTGCTCTACCGCTGAGCCAGAACCCCAGCCCCCTCAAAGAAGATTTTGAGGAAATTTTGCAATCTAGTTAGATTATAGTAATTTTGAGAGCAAGAGATTACATCTAATTTTTTCTTTCTTCTTTTCTTCTCCTTTCTTTTCCTTATCTCTACCCTCAAGCATAGTGCTTTGCCTGGAAATGATACTCAGGTGTTTATTAATGGTTTCAGTTCTATGGAACTTTTCAGTCAACAAGTATTTATTGACTATCCCCATGGGTGAAGGCTGCCCACCAGTTTTGAAGTCCTTTATCTCTTGTATTGTCTGATATTGTCATTACCACAACCTTAAGTTGTAGGGACACTGACGCTCATTCAGTTGCCAAAGAAACTGAGATACAGCACAGTTGGTGGCTGATGTCACACAGCTAACTGGGTATGGGAATGGGGTTCCAGTGGGGTTCCATAGCACGTGCTTCTGAACTCCCCAATGATGGTGTCCAGGTGTGAAGGTGAACATTTCCGCTGATGTTTTATCCCAAGTGTTGATCGTTCCTCAGACACATTTTTTCAGAGATCTGAACCCACTGTAAACTTATTGGGGAAACTGAGCACATGAGACATTTGTTACTTCTTGAAGAAATATTTTAATCAATTTATGTGGCCCTATCCACATATAGACAGTCTGGCTATCTGGTAAGCACTCCATTATTAAGGGGCAGTTAATGAACAGTTTGTTTAAGGGACTGCACACATAGCTCATTTGATGATTTTTCATTTTATTCAGATTAAAATGTACAGAATTGCATAAATCATGATTATAGTTGTCTTAAAAAGATGGCCTTCACTTTTGCCACCAGTGGTTCAAGTGCAGTGGAGACCCACTTCAAGGTCAAGTATCATCTCAAAGGAGGAACGGAGACTTCCCTAGTTGCCTCTTTTGACCTTTTCCAAACAGAATTAGCATTTCCTTGAGACTAAATGCCTTTTCCATTGGATATCTTTTGATAGAATTTCACAGTTGGATCAATTGAACAAATTACCCAGTGTTAGGAAAAAGTCAGAACTTTGGGGGAATTTTTTAGTAACTCTTGGGTTTAGAAGGAAAGTTCCCTAAGCAATGTACACAGTTGTAGAGGCCCTCGCATTTGGATGTGATTTATAGGGACCAGTCCTGCATGTGATCTCTTTTCTGATTTCACAAAGAGGGATTTACTCTCAAAAATTATCTCCGGAACTTGGGAATGACATATGTCCTACTTTACAGCACCTTCTACCTCTAGTGGTTCCTTCAGTATTCCTACAAATGTGAGTGATTCTTCTACTTTATAACAATCACTCACCTCAACCAGGTCCTCTGGATGGCTGCCATTGTTTTTTCTTACTTTCTTCCACTCTCAGAATTTTTAACAGTTGGTCTTTATTTATTGTCGGATGGACTCATTGACATCCTCTCTTGCACTCTCTGGCTGCTGCCTTCCACTTCCTCAGAAGGCAAGAGCTATCAGCCTGTCCCAAGAGTTTGCCCAAAGCCTTACTGTACTGGGGCTGCTCCACTCAGCAGCAGCAACTACTCTCAGCCTTAAATGGTAAAAATGACCAGTATTTCCAATTAGATTGTGCAATTTGGAGATGACAGTATGGGGATAATTTACACCCACTTTCCTATTTCTTTCTCCACCAATGAGAAGGAAAGAAAGGTCAGAATAACCCCCATGCCCACCTCTGCCTCCTGGATATAAAGCTGCAGCTTGTGCGACTCTCTGGGGAAGGACACAGAGCCCTGGGCTCCCTGTTGGCCCTCTTGCTTGTCGAATCTCCCCATGTGTTATATCATGAGGCAGCTGCAGGTGAGGAAAGCCTGGAGAGACACAGATCCACACGTGCCCTTTCCTTTGTCTCTGCTCTACCTGTCTGTTCAGATTAGAAGCCCGTGAAGCAAGTCGGCTTCTGTGCTCTGTGCAGCGCCCACCCACGGCAGATGCTCATGGGAATGTGGATGATTGATGATGGTGTTAATCTGAGTAATAACAGACATTGGGAGCCTGATCTCAGGGAAGCTTCTCAGTACTGGGTTATGAATGCACACGTTCTACAGAGGAGGAAGAAACCCAGCTAATGGGCAACTGTAGATGCCAGTACCAGGGTGGTCCAGGTTAAAATGCTCCTCCCTTGAAAAATAAAAAGCACATCAATTTAACCAGTAAGCAAATAAACAAGCCCTTGCACGAGCTACGCAATCAAGCCTTTTTTGACACCACACCAATAGAAGCCCCAATTACTTGTCAGTTGCTGGAGAATGGAGTCAAAAGGAATGAGACAGTTTTGTACGGGGGAGCCCCTCCCAGACCTCCATTCCTGGTGACATCTACCTTTCCCTTGTGCTTTGAACAGCTCTTCCCACTGTAACCCAGAGGATGTGCAAGTGCTTCTGTATGATGTCTATCAGGGAAGACAGAAGTCTGTTTTCAGACAGCATAGGAATTAATAACACTTGGAGAAACAGGGAACCAGTGTTGGTGAGGATGTGGAGCATTCAGAACTCCTCTCTCGGTGGGAATGTGAAGTGGTGCAGCTGCTATGGAAAGTAGTGTGCCGATTCCTCAAAAAAGGGAAAATGAAACGGTGACGTGATCCAGCAAGCAATTCTGCTTCTGGATACAGATCCCAAAGAATTCAAAGCAGGATCTCAAGGCGATGTTTGCATGCTCATGTTCCTGGTAGCATTATTCAAAATCGCCAAGATGGGGAAACAACCCCAATGTCTATTGAAGGAAGAGTGAATAAACAAAATGTGGTCTACACATATAGTGAAATATTATTCAGTCTTTAAGAGGAAAGACATCCTGTCATATGCTACAACATGGATGAATCCTGAAGCCATCATGTTAAGTGAAGTCACAGATAGACCAGTCACAGATGGACAAATACTCTGTAATTCCCCTCCTATGAGATTTCTAATAGAGTCAAAATCAGGGAGATGGAGAGTGGAAAAGGAAAAGGGGTTGCTCAAGAATGGGGGAGGGGAGAGGGGGAATTAGTGGGTAATTCAAGTTATGATTTGCAAGATGAAAATGTCCTAGAGATTTATTTCACAGTGGAGTGAATATACTCAGTGTTACTGAGTTGTACACTTAAAAAATGGTTACCATGGTAAATTGGTAAATTTAACATTATATATTTATGATCATGATTTCAAAATTTTTAAGACTTTGGGAAAGTTCCTTTGTAAAAAGAAAAATTATTTTAATGTATTTAATCAGATTTCTGGTTTTTCTATAGGTCTATCTTTTGAACTTTTATATATTGAATTTTCTTACAGCAAGATTTTCTTGTAACTGGGGTGTGGGAGACCCAAGTGGGCTGTCCCACTGTCTCTGAATCTGTGGTCTACCACTCCTTTCCAACCCTGAACAGCAAAATAATGCAGAAGCGGGACTCTCTGGATAAGAGGCTTAATATACACAAGAGGGCTTTCACTAATAATTGTTATAGAGGTGAACCGTTTGACAGAATTGAGACCAGAAGGACTGGGCATTGTGGTCTTAATGTAGTTTCTACATATGGTCCAATAAATATATATATTTGACTTTTGCCCCTGGTTCCTGGCATAGAGCTCCTAACCCCTGTGGAATTTCCTGATAATGGAGTGATTCTGGGAGAATGGGGGATGGTTGCCAAAGGAACCATCTTGGTTGGTTGGTTGGTTCCTAACCAAGTGATTACAGTTGGAATTTTCAGCATCCCCCATCCTGAGAAGAGGGGAGGGGCTTGATTGAATTAAATTATTAATGGCCAATGAGTTAATTAACCATGCTAATGAAATGAAACATCCACAAAATAACTGGGTTTAAGGAGCTTCGGGATTGGTGAGCACATGGAGATCCTGGGTGTATGGCATGCCCAGAGGAGACTTGAATGATGAACACCCATCTCTCCAATGTCCTGCTCTGTACACCTCCTTTCATAGTCTATTCCTGTGTTGTATCCCTTGCAATAAAATTGTAATCAAAAGTAAAACATTTTCCTGATTTTTGTATGCCATCCTAGCAAATTGCTGAACCCAGGGAAGAGGAGGTGGAAATGCCTGATTTATAGCTGATCAGTTGGAAGTATAGGTGAATCAGACCTGCGATTGACATCTGAAGTGAAGGCAGTCTTATGGGACTGAGCTCCTGACTTCTGGGATCTGACACTAACCCTGGGAGCTAATGTCAGAAAGGAATTGAATTGTAGGACACCCAGCTGGTGTCAAAAAACAGCTCAGACTGTATTTCCTCCCTGGGTCTTGGCAGAGTTTGGTTTGTGTTTGTTTCTTCCTTCTTAAGTGATCCAAATGCAGGTGGAAAGAAGTTACAAGTCTCCACCTAGCCTGGCAGTGAGGACGTGAATGGCAACCAGGATGACCAAACAAGGCCAAGTGTTTGGGCAATTATGTGTCACGCTGACCCTAACTAGCCATGTGATCACAGCCAGCACAAACTCTTCTTGTTTATCAGATGCATCATTCTTGCCTATAGTGCTCAGAGAAAAACCATGAACCCTGAAAAACACCATATTGTTTTGTGATGTCACCTCTGGAATGTTCTGAGTGTTTTGGTGACCAGCTTCTGCATAGGACCTATACCTGGCACCTTACATTGGTATGACTTTTTACTTGAGATAGAAATAATAGTCTTAGGCAAGGGAGTAGGTATAGCCATCTCTGAAGCCATCTTTGAAGCCATCTCTGCTTCAAAGACTTTCAAAAGGCCCTTACGTCAACTATAATCCCTGTCTTAATTTCTGTTCAGACATCAACAAAGCATCTAATCAGATAGATCCATATCTCCAGACTCAGATTTTCATAATTTACATAATACACAAGAAGGGAATAGATGAACAGACAGTCATTATATATTTCGGGTGAGCAGTTGAGGCCCAGAGTGGGTTGGGAAGTGGAAACCTTCTTGTTTTCTCTTTTCCACAGCACTCAAGGCCAAACTTTACAAGAAAAAAAGGCACCAGATATGAGCGCCTAGAAATCCCAACCAATGTGGTTCTGCCTCAGGTATGGATAATCACAGAAGGATGTAGCCCATCGGTTTTAGGCATAATAACCCTCCTCTTTAGAGATTCTAGTAAGATGTTGTAGAATAAGCAGAGAAATTAGGCCATTGGATTCTAGTTGTGATAGATGCCCCCCGCCCCCGGTTGTGGGCCTTGGGGATGCCACATGGGCTTGGGATCCTTGAATGTGGAGGCTGGGTAGATGAGCCACCTGAAAGTCCTAACCTTTCAAGTTTCTATCATACTCAGAAATAACCCAACCCTCTCAAATGAGATCCTTTGCTACAGGCTGTTGTGTAACTACTCTGGATTTCCGAGGTGAATTACAACTTGAACTTGACATCAAATGTGTAAGAATGAATCCATGAGGAGAAAACCTAGTACTCATACTAAGGGATGCAGAGTCATTTAGGGTTATGGAGATAATTAAGCCTGGTTATGTGCCAAAGACAGAACGTAAGAGGGATGGGCATGTTCTGTTGTTGTTGTTGTTGTGTGTGTGTGTGTGTGTGTTTGTTTTCTGAGGCCAACAAATTGTTGGAGTCCTGGCAGTCTTGAGATTCTCAGGTCTCCTCCCGCAAGCAGCTGTTTCCTTGGTGTGGTCCTTGGGGTTGGATTGTTTCTACTGCTGCTATGTCATAAAGGGGTTGGCCTTGCTTTCTCCAGAGTCACCTAAGGCCCCATTGGAAGACCATGGCCATGCAACCAGAAGGGTTGAAATGTAGGATGGAGGAATCCAATGCAGAGGTAACTATCTGAAAGGTTTGTCCAGGGACACACAAGGAGGACAGTCGCCCGTGGGCATTCTATGTTTACAATTAGAACCATCCCGGCAAATATGTTCAATGGGAGGCAAATATACAGGACAAGAAGACATCCTGGATGTTTGTTGTCACATCATCCTTATGGCTTTGTATGGAAGGGCCACTTTTCTGTTTCAGCTCATGACGCGTAGCCCTCATATTAGATGATTTCTCCTGATCTTTTGACAAGATGGTAACAAGCCGCAGAAACATTTTTAGTTCTGATTGTTTCTGCTTGAAACACACATTGAGCTCTGTTGGCCACTACTTCCTCCCTGAGGGTGGGTGTTGACCTGTGGTTCCTTCATAGTCCACATAAACCAATCTTTGCTCTGCTAAAGGACAGGCAGAGAATGTCAACCTGGGCGTAGAGATAAGAAGAGAATTTGATCATGTGATAGAGATGGGAAGTGGAAACCTTCTTGTTTTCTCTTTTCCACAGCACTCAAGGCCAAATTTTATAAGAAAAAAAGACACCAGATATGAGAGCCTAGAAACCCCCACCAATGTGGTTCTGCCTCAGGTATGGATAATCACAGAATTATCCATTTCTCCTGTTTCTCTCCCTGGGAGATTTCCAGCTCCCAGGGAGAGAAATAGGCTCTGTAGTCAAAGAGGAAAAAAATCCTCTAAGAAGGGTAGAGCTTTTTCTGGGGTGGCTCACTTTCTGTATTGCCAAACCTGGTGCAGTTGATGGGGTCTTAGAGGGCAGAGGGCCACGGGATGAGGGGATCTCTGCTGTCTGGGTGTGCGCACCCCACACGAACAGATGTGGCCTCAGGCTTACGTGCCAGGATGCTCTGACTGGGTCTCTGGGGGAGGGGAGTGATATCTCTATACAGATGATCTGAACCAAACAAGAGGGACTGACGTTCTTGCTATACCTCCATGAATGAGATGGCATGCAGCTTAAGGGAAAAGGGTAAATCTGAGAAACCAGGAGAGGAAGAAATATTGACTGAGCACTGATGACATTGTGTGTCAGGGCCAGGGCCGTGCCGGTGAGTGGTAGAGATTTTACAGATATGGGAAGCTCAACAGGGATGGCAGAGCTGGAATAGGAGCATCCTTTCTTCTCTGTCACCTGGCTGGGCCAGGTTGGGTCTGAGATTTGTAATTCCTCTCTAGTTTTTAAGAGCAAGTGTCTCCCCTCTCCCAATCTTTTTTTTTAAAAACTTCTTTCCTCTTGATTTTTTAAAATTAATTTTTAAAATTTATATATGACAGTGGAATGCATTACAATTCTTATTACACATACAGAGCACAATTTTTCATATCTGGTTGTATACAAAGTATGTTCACACCAATTCATGTCTTTATACATGTACTTTGGATAATAATGTCCATTACATTCCACCATCATTTCTAACCCCATGCCCCCTCCCTTTCCCTCCCACCCCTCTGCCCTATCTAGAATTCATCTATTCCTCCCACACTCCCACTCGCCACCCCACTATGAGTCAGCCTCCTTTATATCAGAGAAAACATTAGGCATTTGGTTTTTTGGGATTGACTAACTTCACTTAGCATTATCTCCTCTAACTCCCTCCATTTACCTGCAAATGCCATGATTATATTCTCTTGTATTGCTGAGTAATATCCCATTGTGTATATATGCCACATTTTTAAAATCCATTCATCTATTGAAGGGCAGGTAGGTTGGTTCCACAGTTTAGCTATTGTGAATTGTGCTGCTATAGACACTGATGTGGCTGTGTCCCTGTAATATGATCTGTGTCTAATAGAGAAAAAAGTAGATCCTAATCTCCATCATGTGGGATTAGGCCCCAACTTCCATAATAAGATTCCTTTGGTATAAGAATCAAAATTAAGAATCAATAAATGGGATGGACTCAAACTAAAAAGTTTCTTCTCAGCAAAAGAAACAATCTGCAAAGTAAGTAGAGAGCCTACATCTTGGGAGCAAAGTTTTACCCCTCATACATCAGATAGAGGACTAATCTCTAGGGTACATAAAGAACTCAAAAGCCAAGCACCAAAAAAACCAAATAACCCAATCAATAAATGGGCCAAGGTCCCCTCCCCCAATCTTAACATCTGATTCCAAGCTCCCTGTGTGTATCTGCCCTGTGCAGTTTTGAGACCAAGTCCATGGGTTTGGGGAGGGAAGGGCAACAGCAGCTCTGCCTCCAAGAAGCAGCTCTGGCAGTAGCTCCAGTCCTGCTGGGCATCTGGGCTTCTCAATCAGACTGTAAATGCGAATGACTCAGGATTTGTTATCACCCTTAGGTCTTTTCAGGTCTTATTGATTTCCCATTTTTCTTCCTCACATTAAATATTTGTGTTTTCTGATCTATTTCCCTCCAGCACATTAACTTGCAAGTCATGAGTGTTATTTCCTGCCCAAGTTAACTGATCTCCTGGTTCCTCTTGCACATAATGATGTGGTGCTCACAGGTACTCTGACTTCCCCAGTGAGCACTGGCTGGGAATTTCATTAAGTGCTGTTTACTCCTAGATCATTAATGAAGGATCTCTAACCAGGCCAGAATGAGCTCTGATGGCACCTTCCAGTGCCCCCCTGCTCCTCTCCTGGCTGTCTTTTCTCCCCATTTTTTTGGGGCTTGTTCTTCAGAAGTGACGGGATCCCTCTGACAGTACCAGTATCTCTGCCAATATGAATAACTTTTCAGGGAAAGATTTCAGGACAGTCTGTGTTAAATGATTAGTGAAAACCACCATGTATAATCTCTTCTTTATTCTCTTTTTGCTACAAGTGTTGTAATTCTATCAAAATCAGACATGTTGGCCCGGTGAACTATACTTTTACCTGTTAGAATTTATTAAAACAAATATTGACTTTATCAAAGGACTTGGAGAGGTAAGTTAATTTTTTAAAATGGTAATAAGACTCAGTCAGTTATGTCATCTCATTTGCAAACTGGTAGCATGTTTGGCATTATTTCATTTCAGGATCTGAGGACCTTTCCACTCTATAAGCTTTAGAAGTACCCAGGACGACTAAATGTTCTCTGCTAGTAACCTTCAGTAATGGAGGTAAAATAGATGTTGAAAAACTTGGTCAATAGACTTGGATTTTTCCTTGAGTGTTTGGACATCTCTTCTGGGTTGTGGTAGGAGTAAAGAGAACTTCAATATGTGTATCAGTCCGTTTTCTATTGCCATAACAAAATACCTGAGATCGAGTAATTTAGAAAGAATAGAGGTTTATTAAGCTCATAGTTCTGGAAGCTTAGAAGACCAAAAGCCAGTGAGGATCTTTTTGCTGCCTCCTAACATGGCAGAGAGCATCATATGGCAAGACAGAGCAAACCAGTCACAGAGAGCTCACCTTCATAAAAAGTCACTCCTGTTATAATCCTTTAATCCGTGAATGAATTAATCCATTCATGACCCAATCACTTCCCAAAAGTCCCACCTCTCAAAAATGATTAGCCCATGATTTGGGGGTTTAAGTTTTCAACACATGAAATTTAGGAGACACATTCAAACCATAGCAGTCCATGTCAGCTAAGCCTGGCTAATCACCGTACAGTCCCATCCCCAAAGAAATTCCACCCTGGAAGATCCCATTCACAGAGTCCTGTTCCTTAGAAATCCTGTAGCACCAATAGGAGACTCTGTTCCTCTTGGCCCCCTTTGCCCCTTGCCCCTCTCCTTTCCACGAGCTACTCTTTTCTATACTCTCACTATCCCTGAGGCTAGTGATCTGACCAAGGCATATAGTCCTTGGGGATTTCAAGCATTTCCCTTCTAGGATCACTCCCATTTAAAAGGAGATGCCAGGAAGGGGGCCAAACCTACACTGAGAAAGAATTCTTGAGCATAGGTGGGATTTCAGACATCTACATGGGCACAAATTGTGCCCAGGCATCTTCTTGGGATCATCAGCATTAAGAGATTATTTGGTCACAGCCACTTTGATGCTGAGAACAGGGTTTTGGTTGCTTTTCCAACACCTGATGGAAAGGTATAATAAGTTGTCCCTCTCCTGTAGCCACTTAATGTCTTATTCTTCCATGAAGGGAGACAACCCTTTTCTTCCCCATCTACTGGGTCTCTGTCCCTGTGTGAGAGCATTTCCCAGAGACCAGGAAAGAGCTGATCCTTTCCTTTGTGGGAAACTTGGACCATATGGCCATAGGCTCTGCCTCTTATCCTTCTCAGGGTGTTTGAGAAGGTTTATTTGGGCACAGACCTCTTCTCAGGGCCTGAC